GGGGTGCCAAAGATAGCTCTTGAGCTTCATTCTAGGGGGCGCAGAGTCAGCAAATGTATTGTTACCGGGAGGCTAGTGAAGGTTCACTTTTTACAAGTATTTTTAATTTGGGTTTGGCCATGTAGAATATAACGGAAATAATGTTTTTACAGAAGTAAGAATTATAAATGTAGGATTTAACACTCCAGCGTTAGTCAGCACAGAACTAACATCATCGTTTGCTCATAATTAATTCATGAATAACCTATATTTATCAAAGAATCTTGGTAGAATCTTGGACAAAAAGAAAATTAAGAACTAATTTGCTTTATGTATGCAACTACTTTTGGCAAATTATGGCTGCACTTTGTCATTCAGCAGTTACTTGTGACGGGGCATCTCACAGCCCATAATCGAGAACATCTACAGAGCAGATCACTTTGTTCAAAAATGCTAAATTCAGGCCTTGCTAGGCTTTACATGTAAACAGTTCAACTCGCTGTATTGGAAATGGCTGCCAACGGAAACTGGTTTAATGTGGAATGGCAAGACGATGCCAGTGACATAATTTGCATCACTGGTGTCATGCCGTCCTATAAAGAGGCTGCCATGACAACCGCTGGTGTTCACTTTTTGTTGTGCCACAATAGTGCACAGGCACTGTTTTGATCGTGTGGCCTGTGGCTGTCTCATGATGCCCTTAGACAGACTCAGGACATGCGCGAACCTATGTCAGCCCTATGATTTGGTACAATAACAATGGACACTGTTTAATGAAGGTGTTGTTGAAGTTTGCACTTTTTAATGTTTCTATGAAATGCACAATGACACGAGATTGCTGTGTAAGTTGCACTCTCTTCTGCTGTGATACGGAGTTATTTCAGTACCGACCAAACAATTTCATTTTCTTTAAGCTGACGTTCAATGCAGCCACGTAGGTCTGGCCATATACAAAGTGCTACTGAAGTTCTCAATTTTGGGCAGACAGACTTTTCTATGGTGTCTCTAGAAACAGAATGGAGTGACAAAGATTTCAAATCAGGACTGTTTTCTCAGACATGAGACTGTTTCCATGTATGATTTAGGCATAAGTGGCACCCTGCCCTTCTCGTTTTCATCCACATTTGTAAAGAGATATACGTCCAAAGTCTGATTACATACGTGGAGCAGAACTAAGTAAGTCAGGGAAAATAACTGAGTTAACAAAATTCTCCAATGGAGATACTTTTGCAATTGGATATTGTTAACTAATTTTTGCAAATATGTTTACACTTCATCACTACTTACTGTTTAGAAGATAAATCTTAAAGAGTTGTTTTCAATACACGGAGGTGGTATGTTAAATGTTATCAGTATATATTTATTGGAGCTGCTTTTATTCTTGTATAAATTATTGGGCTGTGTTAATCATGTGTGAAACAGGGGAAGATGTCTTTTAAACTTGGCTATAAGCCGGAATGCTGAAATAGTACATCGGCTTCAATATGAAATAGCCCTGGCAAGTCGCTTTTTTCTGATGCGTTTAATTATCAAAATCCTAAATCCTGTTTGATTTGTGGATATGTTATAGTGCAAGGAGGTCTCCTGTCCCTCTGTCTTATTAATACCATACAACCCTACAGTCCTGAATTTGTCATGACAGTCACGGGTTTGGGATCCTGCCCAGCCATCTTGGGATTGCTGTCTTGGGTACTCCTGAGACCAGGTTCCTATAAATAGTCATAAGTCACATTTCCACTATACAAACTGCATGGAGGAGATTTAGATCATAGGACTCATACAGCCCAGATTGTATGCCCCTTTTTCAGAGGAGATTTCACCCTTTGGGCATCTCCAGTAGCGCATTCCGTGTCTCTGGGAAGTATGTTAAAGTGATTTGCCAGAATCTCAGTGTGCGACGTGCAAGTTAATTTCACTTTTCACAAACGGTTATTCACATAATTGAGGCAAGGTGAGTTTCAAATTTAAGGCAAAAGTAGCCAAACTGAAAGAATTGCTGACCTGGAGAATCTTTCTAATTCAGCTATTTTGGCCTTAAATTGGAAAGTCACTATGAATTCTCACTTTATTGAATAAGTCCATTTACAATCTTTTCTAAGTTGTGTTTAGCATATTATCCACTGATTTCCGCATCTCTAAACTGAACATTTTTAGCAACTGACAAGGGAGCTGCAACTTTTAGAACGTAATAGCTGAGGAGAAAAATAATTAAAATGGCATTTCTTCCAGTTCAGTTGGAGAGGATTAACATTTGTATTTTGCTGAATAATTCTACATGATTCTTAATTTAGTGACAACCCCCCCTTCAAACCAGATCACTAGCCTTGCAGAGTTAACCCAATCTGAGCTGTTTAGGACAGCTTCCAAGGTGCGTATCAATGGAAGGATGGGAGTGATGGGAACTAGCTCAAAGCTTAGAGTGAGACGGAATCTCAGAACCTTTCTTTGGGGACTGACAAAACAGACCATGTCTTAAAGTGGATTTATTGTTCACATTCTAATGGTGAAGCTGGCGAATAGGATCTGTATAACACGAACTTTTACAAACGTCAGCTCACAGCGTTCTTCAACCATTTAGTGAATCTTTGTGATAGACTGTGCGATTTATTCACTAAACAATAGAATTTAGTGAATTGAAAGGAAATTTAGAAAAAATGCTGAGATGGCTTTCATTTCACTACAAGTCAGTGTTTAGTGAATAAATCGCATTGCTTTTTTTCTCTTTGGTAAGCAGCCCATAAGCCTAAGAACAAATGTAGTTTAGAAAGGGTACATTTCTTCTAGCGATCAATTAAGATCAGATTGCTGTCTGCCTCACATCACCTTGTATTCTGTACGCTGTGTACGTTCTACCCAAATGTACAGACGGACTGCGGGAGACCCAACTATGGCGGTGTGTCAGATCTGGCATCAATAAAACATGCTTCTTAAACGGTGCCAGTAGGCAAAAGCATGATATCATATTTGCACATGTACTGGTGAGGTGAATTAGGGATTGCTAGTATATGTCTGTGTTACCAGCTATTTAACCATTTCAGTGCCAGAGTGTAAATTACTCATCTGAATGGCCAATCACAGATTGAATCACTATACTATCACTGTGAAATATACGCAGCTCATCAGCAACCCCCCCCCACCCGAAGGGTTAGGATCTCAAATACAGAATGATAAAACTCCAGCGTTTTTGCCATATTTTTGCGAAAGTGTCATTAACTGACTCCAACAAATGTCAGCGTAGAGTCACTCTGCATACAATGTTATGAGAAGAACAATTTAAAGACAGTTTTTTCCCTCTGCAATTAGAATTATTCCTATTTTATTACTGCATGCATTTCGTGCTAATCTCATACGCTTCCAGGAGCCTGTTTACAATCACATTTTAGGACTGGATCCACAAATAATCTTCTATAACAAAGAGTCTGGGTAAGGGATGTTTAGAAGAATATTCATTAATTTCATCAATTAAAATTCTTCGGAGACATAACACATTCCTGTGCTTTAATGGTGCCAGAGTTTCTCAGAAATATGTACAATTCTGCTACTTGATGGGATAAATAATGCAAAAGTGTGACTTCATACTGTGGAATGGGGACAAGTACTTTCATCTCAGTGAGTTTGGTCAGTTAACCCCTTAATGACCAAACTTCTGGAATAAAAGGGAATCATGGCATGTCACACATGCCATGTGTCCTTAAGGGGTTAAATGAAAGCCCAGAGATTCCTAAACCATCGACAACTTCGCTGCTACTGGGTAACGAAGGAGGTGATGACCAACTCGATGTCTCAAATAAAACCCATAGCCCCAAGAGGTAACGTGACCAAAGAATCCACCTAATAGTGCCTATAACTCCTCCATAGTTTTACATTGATGTCCAGACTTAATGGCGTTCTCATGAGTTCACTGGGATCTTAGATACATGTTCTTGGCATTTTTTTATTTATGAATTTTCATTATATGTCTGTTTATGTTAGTAAATCAAGAAGATGCATCCTGTATGCCGTGGGGATTAGAGCAGATATAGCCTGGTTCTAGAACTTGGATTGGATCAAATCAGTGCCTTGTGTATAGCTGGTTTGCAAACACCTAATGGAAATCTGCCTTATCCCAATCCTAACCAACCCATGTAATGTCTGATGCATTGAATGACCTTGGTTTAGTGTTTAGTTGGCTTGGAGATTTCTCCCCATGATGGCTCTTCCATCCTACATTATGGAAGTTTGACTTTTTGTGCATATCTGCCTTTAAGTAAGCATTAAGAGGAATTGGACCAACATCCACCAACAATCCAGAATGTAGCTTTGTCGAGATATAACTCTGGCAATGTAATGTATCTTCAGCCAGATAAATGTTGTTATTGTTGTGAAGACTTAGGGAAAGACTGCCCAAACTACGAGTTTACCTGCTTGCTATTGGCCACTATAAATCCATTCACATTGTTTGCCTCCATTTTGTTTATCTTAACCCAGTCCCAACAGGATTTCCAAACTTCATCTGGACATCAGAAAACGTTTCTCAGCTGCAATCATTTAGGCTCCTAAAGGCTGGCTAGTGAGACATACCATGAGCCAAGCCCTAACACCAAAAACAATGTGCAACATTTTCATGGGAAAGGAATTCTCAAATGCCTCCAATTTCATGGTGTAACAGAAACATCAACAATCGAGTTCTACTCAGTTAGCAAGACCTGCGCAATCCTTAAACTGATGTATCAACTGCAAAAAACAGATGTGAGGAAGGCTGAACTTGATGGATGCAAGTCTCTTTTCAGCCATGTAACTATGATGTCAGATAACGACAACTGTCTTAATTGCATTCCAGTCGTAAAGCATGCTGGGACCCGGCAACGTATTTACTTCACAGCTCGTTCACTTAGTAATGATGAACACTCCTTTTATTTAAAAGCACATAATACAATAAAAAAAACACCACTTATAGAAGGCTATATAATTAAAGGCTATTACTTGACGTAAGCGATTTTTCTTTGACTACCACGACTTGCATCTTTACATAAATGTTGTTTTTCTTCTCTGCCGCTAATTGTTATTAAGCTGTAAATAACCAAAAGTTATAATCTTAATAACCGCGTTTGAGGATGTGCAGGGATTTTATCCCCCCCCACCCCCACCCTGCGGGTGCGGTTAAAGTAATCAAGTGAGATTTTCAATGAACCCATTCGCTTCCATGGACACACAGAAAGAGCCATCCACTTGTCACGTTATTAAACAAAACATAGGCACCATCAGTCCAGATAAAGTCACTCTACAACTCCTACAATGCTCAGCTGGAATAGTGTTTGTCAGTGCATCACTGTGGCTGAGAGAAACTTGCTTACTACGTTAAAAATTCATGACCAACTTGCACAAACTGTGTAGAACTACTTTCCAAGGGTAAGTCGAATGGAACTTGATGGCAAGGGCAGAATCTAAATACGAGAACAAGTGTCAGTTTTTCACGTGCAGTAATCGGCCGAGTCAGATGGCGCAATCAACACTTTATTGCATTCCTCTGTGACCACCATGACACGCTCTGGAAAAAATCTGCATTGGTGGTCACAGAAAAATAATAATCTGAAACCAGTGTCAACATATGTGCCCACTTCACACAAGAGGCGAAAAGTGAAATGCACACCGCGCTCATGCCACAGTATTTTTAACGTGACTGACAGACACCCCCTTCTCATGTATCCACTACTAGAATGCATTATAAAATGGCAAAAAATAAATATTAATAAAAACATAGACTTAAATTGTGTTTGAAAGTGTGTAAGTAGCTATGCTGTGATAATTAAAGGGGAATTTGTGAGTAAAGGGTTAAGGGCGCTAATTATGTTAAGCTGCTTACAAAGAACTTTGTTATGCGTGCAATGCAAATATCAGTTCATCTATTGACGTCAGTTTTCATGTCTGAAATAAACATGCCGGGGCGGGTATGAATATGATTCGGGACCCTGGGTGCTGCTCCGATTTTGACTGTATCAGAATCTTGCAACCTGTAAGAAAAAGTGGAATAGATTAATTTAGGGTCGATGGAAAGTCACAATAAACTCTAGTTGATAATCAGAGTTGTATAAAACATTATGTACCCCCTTCAACAAAACAAGAAATATAATGACTACATCGCTGGCAGATCATATATAAAATACAGGATGCCCTTTAATCTCAACTACTCATCTATTTGGATTCCCTGTTGCACCTGTGGGTACTTGTAACAGTAATCCTGAGACTCTTAAAATAATAATGTGACTAGTAAGGAATTCAAAGCCAATTTGACATTTTAGAAGACAAATAACTAAAACTGAAAATGTCTCCAAAGTCAACTTCATTCTTCAGATTGGATATTACGGCCTAAAAGGTTTGAATTTACTTTGAATTCGAGACAATTTGTACTTTACTGAATAACCCTGTGTCTGTTTGTATTTGTTTTACAATTTAACAGAATCATTAGGAACATTAGAAAGATGAGCTGTATCTGTTTATTAAAGGTAATATTTGCGCTGTGATCCTCAGTGCATTCTAGACACAGTATGATGTTAGCAGTGACTGCCAAATGTCCGATAAATTGTTTCCATAATCTGTTTTAGAAAGATAATTAGCTCTTATAGATTGCATGATCTATTTAATAATTGTGGGAGATAAATGTCAATTGCTACAGTTTTACGTACTGTTTATTATTTTCGAGATTTTGATACATATATCTATATATTTTTATGAACGCTAAGCATACTGTATTCTAAAACAATATTTATACATTGCCGCTTAGCGTAGCCTTATCAAACATCAATTTGTCAAACAAGTTATTGAAGGGGATAATGTGTTAGGTATATACCAACAGGGATGGAGGGAGGGGGGCAAAAGGTAGACCATCAGTTGTTGAAAAAGCTGGAAAATCATCATGATAGTTGTAGCTAAACAACAAATGTCCCGTTGACCACCATTGGTGTATACCAGCCTAGTGCATTTAAGAAAATGCATAAAGGAAGTTGTTGGTCAATAAATAAGACAGTAGGGAGTATGGCTAACAAACGATGAAAAAGTCATCATAATAAGAACTTTATTGGAAATTCAATGAAATTCCGACACAATCAAAACATATCGTCAGACCAAGTAAGGACCAATGAAGTAAAAAAAACAAAAAAACTTAAAAAAAGATCTTCTTCTGTTAAGTTGAGAAATGAACATCTTAAGGCATGTTAATATTTGGTCTGTCGAGTACAAACAAGTACAACAGTGAGACAGGCTGGCGGGTGACGTGAACACAAGGGAGAGCTTCAGGTAGGTATCACTACCTCTAGCCTCATCTCCTGGCAGCTGGAAACTGAAGAGAAATGTATTCTTCGGGGTCTTTGTAAAATATGCGGTGATTTCATCAGAATTCCCTTTGAATTCAGGGCAATTGACACCTTAGTGAATAATGTGGCTGGTGGACTACCATCACTGCAAAATGTAGACCAATATAGGGACATTTTTTGTTTTTACCTTGAAGCTGAAGGTCAGTGCAGGACTCACCTAAGAGTTTTTGCCTTGACGTTGCAACTCCAGCTAATCCAAAGACTGAGGATACCTACACACAGTATTAGGTCCTTTCTCTCTTCTTCTCTTCGTTTCATATGACCGAATATCGGAGAGACAGATTAAGGATACCATTCTCATCTCCCATTGAATATACCATAAAGACACCATCTGGTGTGAACCTAAAGGTTTTCTTCCTGTCATTGACTATATTCCATTACTCCCTGTGACGCAGCCCCTATCTATCTTTGTTCATTTCTGTTTTTAGTTCAAAGGGTGAGAGGGATCCCCTTTGTTGTGGTTGCTGCCTACCCATTGATATATCAACGCTGATCCATTTCTTGTGCAATATAGGGTAATATCTAGAAACTCGGCTGACTCGATGCCGGTTTATGCTTCTATTCCCATTTCAGTGTGCTGCTCAATGTAGTAAAAGGGTTAAGGACAAATTCCAGAAACACTTGGCTGCTGTACTACATTGTAGCATGGAGCCAACAGCAAGCCTTGCGGAACGGATTTGTGTAGCAGAACTGACACTCGTATACCAAAACATAATAATCGCATGCACGCCGAGGAGAGCGGATACTATTGACCCCTTGGTGCCTTGTTCCTCTATGCTGCGTATATGGAATGGGTCTGTCCAGACTATTCATGTTGGGCGATAGGAAGACCATGTGTTTTGTTAACTAAACAGTACGTTGTAGTCAGCTATTAAGTAAATATTTTTTATGGTATTTGCCGTCATCGTAGACAATTTAGATCATGATATATGAGTTGTAAAACATCTTCCGCACAGTGAAGTTGCGTTTTTTTCCCCCAAATCAGCTATTTTGTTGTATATTTTCTAAGTTTCTAGTTTTCTTCAACTATGTGAATAATCCACATGGTAAACTAGAGATATTCTAAAACGAATGGATGATAAAGTATTACAATAATAAAAGTTCCAACAAAAGTTCCAATTTGGTAGGAATGCCAAGAACTGTTCATATAGTATGTGACCACTCAAGAAATTGAGGGATAGAAAAAACAAACAGTACATTGCAGAGCTTGGTGTCCAATCCTCATAGAAATGTGGTATTGCATTAATATCACAAGGCCTGGCTAAAACCTTTAAATCTCATATGTTTCAATTATCTTTCAACTTTGCCTCTGTTTTCTAATGGCAAAAACAGCAGGAGGACAATTGATCTGGCCACCACCATAAACAGGAAACATTTGCTTAGGTAAATGTAAGCCACCACCATGATCTGCTGTTTCTGGTTTTTCAATGGTGGTATTCTCAGATTCATTGCACGTGTGTGAGTGACTGTGGCGTTCCGTACGTGTGTGTGAAATTATATACGTGCTAATGCTTACTAGTTCTCTTATGGGGAAATAAAGAACTGGAAAAAGTCCAGAAGCAGGCTACACAAGTAATGGGGGAATGTTGTTTTGCTTATTCTAGAAATTAGTTCACCATAAAAGGTTGAGATGATATTTTAGTAAAAACAGAAAAAAGGTGTGCTAAAATTTAAAGTGGAAAATTCATTAAGCAGCTTCACACGTGTAATATAAAGTGCAATATACTGCCTCACTCACAAGTGATAAAGTGTATATAGACAATCAACATATATGTGTAAAATATCTAGAAGTGATATAGTGCATAATTAAATTAAATTGCAACTTACACTAACAGTATTGCTGAGATAAGCCACAACTCCAAATGAGGAACATAAAAAAGGACAGAAAATAAAATTTTATATACAATTTTAATTGTCAGAAACAATACCCCCATGGCGCTACATGGGGCCATCACCACTGACTCTGGATAAAAGGGGGACTAAGTTCCTGGACACACGTTGGGGTGGGGGAAGATGAAGGGACATGATGACATTTGTTCTGATAATTGAAAAACAGCGAGGAGACTCACCGGGAGAGATGGGAAAGGAATAACCACAGGCATTGACTGACCACTAGAGGTCCCAAGTACTGAGCGTGGAAAATGGAATCGGGGGGAGAAAAATGTGAATTGAGCATGAGGACAAACGGGGAGGGGGGGACGGGGGAGAGGGGGAGAGGGGGAGTTGGGGCAATGAGATTGAGGGGGAAGGATAAAAATAAAAAAACATAGATAATCATATAAAAAAAGGACAAAAAACATAGTATAATATTGTAAGGTAAAGGTAACTAACTTTCTGGAGAAAATAGGAAATTAACTCACAAACATAGAGCATATAAGGCTGCTCTACCTTTTAATAGCCCAAATGCATAGACTTCCACTGCAGCCAGTATAAATAGATGAACATTGTTTATTTCCACATTTACAAGTCAAAATACTATATAGCAGATATCACCGGGTCCCTTGTAGCAACATTCCTGCCTTAGAACACGTGTAGCCGCCGGCTGTTTGTTCTGTTCGTACACGCTCCAGATGAGGCTGTTTGCAGTCGGATAGTTCCGGGAGGTGCAGTGTACGTAGTGACGTCTACCCCTAGTCAGATGATGCGTTTCGCCGAATGATCGGCTTCTTCAGATCTGACTTCCTTAGTACAAACAGTCTTTATAAATCCACCCAAAGGGCGTGACATATTAAAAAAAACTATTCCTACTGGCTATACCAAAAACCTAATTACCAAATTGACGGGATACAAAAAAAAACTCAATAATTGAAAGTTCTCAGTAATTCGAAGGTAATAACTTTAAATAGCATGCATTCTAGATATACAGTATTCACTGTCCATGGAGCTTTTTCTACCACACTCAATAGACGCCTTTACATTTGGCGTGGGTGGGCATTATAATTAATAGCTTGTGGGTCCAGGGAGGGATCCAAATACAATTTTTGAGTCAAGAAGGAATGTTTCCTATTTTGAAGCTATATTAAAACAGTTTCAATGTGGGTATAATTTTTACCTTTTTTGACATCAATAGCAGCAGTAAGTTAAATGTTGAACTTGATGGTCTTTTTTTCAACATAAATTAGTGTTAATATGCAGGAGACCCTGAACAGCAGGATTAGCATAATCTATTTCCAAGGGCCAACTATGCATAATATACAGCATACGTGACATTTTCAATATATTATCACGTAATTCTGTTTTTTAACTCCTGGGTTATAAATCCTTTATCCTTGTTATTTTCTGCATATACTCACTTTATACTTCGTTAAAGCCATTCACAATTATTAATGTAGTCACTAACCCTTTATGTTTATACCAGACCCCTTTATAAAAGTGAGATCATCGAGCATGTTAATAAAGTATCTGCATGCGTATTTTTAAATTTGAGTTAAATTAATTATTGTGACATTTGCCATAGATTTTGTTTCTTTGCATCATGTATTGAAGTAAGGAAGTAATTTCGGGCTTTCAACCCTATGGGGAGAAGGTTATGTTTGTTTAAACCTGCAGTCACTCACTTTTTTGCTGAGAAGTGAATACTATTTCTAACTTAAAGGTGCATATTTTTACATTTAAGAACTGCACAATAGCAGATGTTGCTTTTTGAGAAATGTCTGTATGCTTAAGAGATTCTTAGGCTAATTATTACAGGACGACTGGAAACATTTTTATAACTGTATTTTGCATTCTTTGTAAAAACGTGTGAATGTGTCAGACTGTTGATTATTGGTTAATGTAACGGATCACCTGGCACCCCGACTGGGTACCTCCATTGATGGATGCTCCTAGCGCTTCTTGAAGGCTCCAAGCACTCTAGTCGACACCACAACCACCACAGGCAGAACCTCTCTTCCTTCCGAGCGAAGCAGGAACAAGCTCTTAAAAGAGCTTAGGAGTGATTATAGCAAGGGAATATGCAGAGCATAGCAATCCCTTGTAGCAGATTCCCCCTAATAAGAGAGAGGACTCCAAATTGAGGATGAAGTAGAACTGTCTAAAACTTTATTTTACTTGGGACTAGCCCATATGGTCATTACATTAAAATTGCTGTGAAAACTCAATAAAATTACAAACAGTCAAATCATAGCAAGCAACATACAGTGACTTATTATAACATAATTACATATTTATAAATGGGTGGGGAAGACCATAATTAACACAAAATGTCTCTCCTGCATGCAGAATTAGCGATATGCAAATCTACCCGAATATGCAAATTACCAGTCTTGCTATTCAGGTAGTGCATATTACTGTTGCTACCAACAGAGGGCACTACACAAGCTCCATAGCCAAATCCATCTAGTTGGTAGCAATCCTCAGCAGTGCAGGAGAGCAGGCAATACATCCCAGGGGCCATAGTCACATGGCAGGAGGCTGGCAATCAGTCTTCTCCAATGCCCAGTGGCGAGGCTGGTTCCGCCACAGTGAACACCAACAAATTCTGGGGCTTTAGTTTGTACGCTTGTTTGGACACTCTACTCGTATATCATACATCTATTGTTATAATTTAATATTTGTCTCGGTTACCTATTGTACAGCGCCGCTGAATATGTTGGCGCTATGTAAATAATTGTTATTGTAATTGTATTGATTATTAACTAAACCAAAGGAATTGCATTTAATGAAACCCTGGAAAAATAGCTGACATGGAGATTTCATTTTAAAATCAGTCATTTTGGTCTGAAAATGTTTATATCCTTTTATCACTTCTTCACAAATTCCTGGTTTAGTAAATAGACACCAATGTGTTTTACAAACGTGTACAGTTAGGTGTCTTTCCGATATTGATACGTAAGATATAATCTTACCTTAATATTTACATTCAGAACACAATTTATTTTGACCAAACATAACAAGGCGTGAGGAGTATAAACAGAAGATAGCTCCGTAAATCCAAAATCCATTTGTATAGTTTTATTTGCTAAACGTCAAATTTTAGTGAGCCTAAAATTGAATTGCAAAACACAGGCTAAGTAGCCAAGCTGTAACTATAGTGGAATGTGAGATTTTTCCAAATCAGTCATTTTTGCCTATCTTTTGCAATTTACTTTTCAATTCACTGAAATATAGTGTTTGAATAAAACCCAAATGTGCAGTGGTGAGTAGAGTACCCACTTTTTGGCCTTAACTATGCAAGTCATTTCTCAACATGCCACGATTCTCTATTTAGCAAAAACACCTCTCTACTTGAAATGTACTCGTTAATGGATGTTGAAAATAGCACCACTTTGTCAGTGAACAAAACAATTAAGTCAAAATGAAATGAAATAGGTATCAGTCTTTTTTACAGAACATCTGTAAACTCTAAAGAATTGTATGGACGATTGCAATATCAGTTAAAAAGAATCTTAGAGATCTATAGAAAATAGTGTTACATTTATTTTTAATCAAGAATATATACTACACAGGTTCAAACACCTGTACAAATTCTACACTCCCAGCACTGTAAATGTAACAGACGAGGCTGAATATAGAATATTCATTTTAGCCTTATTGGTACGGGTCTGACATTGGCTCCTTTACAGCTATTAACGAAATGTGACTTGTTGGGAACTCAAAGTGAATTTTAAATGAATTCCCCAGATTAAACAAAATGTCCAAGTTAACTATATTTTCAGTTTAGCTAATTGGCTAAAAGTTTAAAATTCACTTTGAATATGATTCAAATCTCCAATAATTCCCATTTTGCCCATGTTTACATATCAACTATAAGGTTTGCTTTTTTCTAATGACTTTTACTCTGTTTTGACTCCTTGAGAAGGCTAGTGACAGTCATGACTAATTGGACCTGATGGTAAAAATGGAACCAGCAGGTTGACAACCTAGATTTAGAAGTCATTTACAATGTAAATGTTTATTTAAGATATAGCAAGTACTTGAGAAAATTTGGCATTGTCTAAAAGTATTTATAGGATGGCTGATGTGAGCTATATTTATCACTGACTTGTCCAAAGGTTCAGGAGGTGAGTGCGTTAAACAAGCTACTTAAAATACAGGCACACTGTAACCTGGCAGATATCAAACTGTTTCATCAAAGTGAAGTAATCTCTAATAACCTACAGGTGTATTGGTTAATGGATGTAGAGGTAGGTACTGGCTTTATCTGATAAAATCATGTGGTGTGGACTCCAATGCCCTGGGGGCCAATGACGAGCTGGGAAATGTCAGGGAATGTGGGGAACCTTCTCCATAAATTAGTTATAACTAGAGAAATGTCATTTATAGGGAACCCCCTCCACCCCCCACACCCTCACAATTCTTGAGGTGTATGACTTGATAGGTAGAGGTGCATGTTCACCATTTCCTGCACCCCACAAAATAATCTTCTAGCCATGGGCTGTCCATGTGTATGATTGTCCCACGGGGGCTACATTTGCTTGTACTCCAAACGTTTACAAAATAACGATTTAAATCTAAGGGTACCTGGTTAGAAACGAGTGCTTCTGTTAGCCATATATACCGACAATGCTGACTGTGGTGGGATACCAGGATAAGGAATGACTTCGGTGGTGTCTGAAAATGTACTTACTTTACTTTTGCCAGGCAGCGTTCAGTGTGTATGAAGAAACCCTACATGTGGTGAGAGCTATGTATTTGTTTGACTCTTTTTCATACTAGACAAAATGAATCACTTTTGATGTGTACACACTAATTAATACGTCAACATCCTCTAACTACCATTATGATATATGCGATCGATCAGGAAGTTCTTCAGAGCAGTGGTGAATGTTTTGGGACGTGTATATTTCTTGTCCTTTCAGATGGCTGTCACGGAACACATTGTATCAATTATGCAAGATATTGGACTCACGCATGCTTCTGACAGGCTGCGGCTCATATAATGTCATTTGTCGGCCGCATCTGGCCAAAGCTTTACTTTAACATACGGTTTAAATCTGCAACTCACTGATGGGATTCTCAGTATGAAAATTTGAGAAATAGATCTCTCCACAAATATGTCGTCCACGGGTATCAAACTGACGCCTCCCAGATGTTGATGGAGTAAATCACCCGCAATTCTCCTGCAGGCTATGACTGGCAGAGAGTTATAGGAGTTGTAGTTAAAAAACCCATCTGTTTCTCAGCAAAGTTTAACATCCATGATGTAAGTGGTTTAGAAGAAGAAGGTACAGAGTACTAATTAAATTGTCTGTATTTACAGGCCCTATCTCAACCCACATGTTTATATTGTAGCATTCTTATTTAGTGATGTCGAGTCCACTGATACTTTGAGATAGCCGGTGTGCACCTAACATATACATAGAGAACTGAACACACACTGTACATGGAGTTAACTGATCTGCGTACTAAACTCCATGCTTGTCTTCTCTCCCCAGCTGCCAAAGATGTCAGTCACCCGGCATCTGCTGCTTCTTCTCTTCACGTTCCTGACGTACACACTAGATTCCGCTAAAGTACACGGGACGTCTGAAACCCTGTGTGGAGGGGAGCTGGTGGACACGCTACAGTTTGTTTGTGGAGACCGGGGCTTCTACTTCAGTAAGTCAAACTCAATGAACATTGGGTGGCCCATGTCTTTAATTAGCGTCACTGCAGACTTTGTTACAGTCATGTACATGTCAAATTCCCTTTACCTTTCTTCAAATAGATTGTTAATGACCTGGATTATGTTCGATGATTTACATAGTATGAGGATTGGAAACTTTGAACTCAAATTAGTGGCTTCACTATTATAACCAGCAATAGCGTAACCACTTCCCATAGTAATCTATAATTTGCATTATCACCAAAAATAGAATAAAACTAGACTTTTAGCAAGCACAACCCCTTGGAGAGAATATGGACCTGGAGGACATAAATATCTCGGGGCACCTTGTATCTACTCCCAAAGTCGGTCCCTGCTCGACATAAATCACCTCTAGCCACCATATTACGGTTTCATAATGAAGGGTTAATCCAAGTGTATTCTGGTTTGGAATGGCTTTATGTTAGGACTATGCACTGTCATTGTCAGGTTAGGACAAGGCGTGGAGGCTGGATGTCAGATATAAAATAGATTTCTGTACTGGAAAACATAAAACCTATAACTTTAAACTTGAAAAACATCTCTGGGTGAGATAGTCAGCAGTGCGATTGTTACATACACAAACAGACTCGAAATATCATAGATTGAAATGTGTCTGGTCTTCCAACTGTCATATATTGGTTTTTCTGAGCCTTGACAGCTGTTTGTGGGTCTCAGCAGAGAGGAGACGAGTTGAGTTCTCTTGGAACAGCTGATAAGACTTTGTTCTGTGCAGAGTGTGCTGACTGTGCACATTCCTGCCCTATGTGTCCTGCTCGGTAATGTTAGCAGGGGAGAAAAGAAGACCCAGGCAGGAGGCAGAATGGGGGACAGCAGCTCAGTGAGCCAGGTCCCACAAAGACCCTCTTTGTTGCTTCCTGCATTCCTCTGGGAGAGTAGATAGGGAGAGGGGGGTCATTGTTTACTTCAAATTCCCCTTTAACTTACTTTGATTGATTTGGTAAAAGGGGGAAGGGAGAATGTTTGAGGTAAGAGAGGGACAAGAAAAAGATGCAGAACGGAAATTGCCAGCATTTTTACTGCACACATGTCGTGAGAGAGAAAGATAGACATTCACAGGAAGCCTGTATGAACCAACAGGACAGCCATGTCCTGCTGGTTAAGATACTATTTTGCCACATGATTCATTTAGCTGATTTATTGGAACTTGGCCCATGCTATCGCTCCATACAGGTCTCTCAAGGTGTTTGGAACTGCATGATACAAAACCATCATTTAAACTGGCTGAGAATTATGGGTTACCAGGATTAGCTGTCACTGCTCTGGTATATTACCTTCAAGAAGTCTCAGTGTTTCCCCAAACTATTGTATTTCACCTGAAGAATCTATACTGAGAGGTCGAAAGGTTTCACAAAAACATGTCTCGAAACATATCCTCTGCATTGTTGAGCAGCATATGTTGTTAATAGCATTGTTAGTCATTCTTCAGGAAAGAAATGTCATCACTATGAGTCACTATGTATTATTATCCGTTGAGGCAAACATCTACTTCAATAAAATATACCTTCTTAGTATTTAACAATGCTTCAAAAAATCCCAGAACATGTTCTTGATTGTCACATAGGACGATACTGCAGGAAAAACAAGGCATCAGGTTCTAGTTAATGACGTGTCACTCTGTGTTTTGTATTTGGTACCCAGGAGGGTATATTACATTTAATTGTTGCTAAATAAAACTCCAAGCCATCACTTTTACTGTCACTGGGCAAACAAGTAAAGTGCCCGAGTTGCCTAGTTAGAGGGGAGTGATGCTGCGCTCCAAAACACAGACAGAATGATTGGAAGGTGCTCCGCAGACACTTCAAAATAATGCTATTGTTTTTCTTCTATAATTATATATTTTGAGATTTCGTTGGCAGTTTGTAATTAAAGACATACTCGTATAAAATAAATATATGGGCGGCTACCAATGTGAAATATGTAAGAAATGTAAAAACAGATACTCCATTTACTTAAGAGCTCTGAATAATACGAAGTCACACAAACACTGCCTGGCCACAGCTTATGCCAGAACAATCCACTATTTACATGTGGTGGGCTGCAGATTTTTCTAAGATTCTTGTTGAAACTTTATTAGATCTCCAGTGTTCTCAGACAGGCCACAGTGAGATAAAATGTTTTCTAATGTCAGTTTCCAGCTGGGCAATCTTGGCCCGTATCACCGATTGGCATTCCAGATGTTTGTGAACTCGAATTCCATTGATTTTCAGCCAGGTGCATTATTTTCTAGAGGGAATAATTGATAGCGAGGGGTGTAGGATGAGAGGAACAATTTGTTGTGTTGCTGCTGGTCAATGCAGGTCCAGAGGTCCACACACCACTTTTTCAGGTTTAAGATATGGAGAATGGGTGGCTGCTTTCTTATTACACATTCTTATTCACAATGCTTTCCTATGGACGCTGGCATCTTCTCACTGTGAAATCACAGTGAGAAGCGCGGAAGCGCCTCTAGAGGCTGTCAATGAGACAGCCACTAGAGGCTGGATTAACCCTAATATAAACATAGCAGTTTCTCTGAAACTGTTATGTTTATCAAAAAAAGGGTTAATCCTAGCTGGACCTGGCATCCAGACCACTTCATTAAGCTGAAGTGGTCTGGGTGCCTAGAGTGGTCCTTTAAGGGCAGTAGGCTTTGTTTGGGATACAGACATTTTGGATTGGAAGAAGGAGCAGCAAAGGAGGGAAAGCTACGAAAGGGGAAAACAAGGATAAGCTTCGCTACTTTGTTCTATTTAAGAATATTGTTGTATTGTAGAATTGTTCAGGTTGTGACATCGGCAACACACTAGTACCCTCCATTTGAAGAAATGACCACGCCTAGTTCTAGGAACTGACTAGTAGCCAATGATTAGTTGCCTTGCTAAACCTGTATAGCGGTTGGGCAAGTTTTCAAGTCCTACCCAACACGGTCAGGGTTTCACTTGCCAATGGTAACTGCAATTGATTTGATTTGAGTTAGCGCAGAGATTTCTGTTACCCAGGAATCATTTTTCAGCCAGTATTTTGCAATCCAGTGTTTGGACCCGTGGGTTCACATAATGAGATAGATATGAAATACCCAGATATATGTAGCTGAAAAGAGAGCTAGCACGAGAGCCGTATCTGCGTATGTGTGAATGGATGTGTTCCTGGCTGCTCAATAAATAGCTAGACAATGCGTGCTGTGAGTTTGACGGTGAAGTCATTTATATGTAAGGGGATATTCATTGTGTAAATTGTTTATTTTTTTAAGCCTATTTTTCAAACTCTTCGCAGAACTGATGTGGAGAGTCAATATGTTGTTTATCACAGGGAAGTTTCCACTTGGATTTTTATTCCCACAATAGAAAAGGTGGTCACCATTTCAATGTTTGTTTGACTACTTAAGGTGGGACAAAGCAAGTGAACTCCTGGTAGCATAACCACTACAGTGGACAGTTGTGGTTGCCAGGGCAAGTGGATTTTTCCACACTGGTCACAATTTGATTTCAAAGGAGTGGTGGTGGCTGCTGATGTGGCTACCATGGCTATATTTGAGAACCACATCCAGAAATCCCTAGGTTCCGTTACGATGAGAGTATCATCATACATATATTGTTCAGGGTAATCAATTCCTTAACATGTTATTTTGTAGTTATAAAGCTAAAATCAGATAGATAAAACAGTGCTATTCTGTTTACTCAGTTACAAATTAGGGTCCACAAAAGAGTTAACTTGACTCGCAGAACGAAGTTAATGGAAAAGAGCTGACTGGGCTCAGTTCGACACCCCCTATCCAGGACTGAAATCCAAGCCTGTTGTTTACATGGCTTGCTGTGCTGGTGTAGGAGAGGGGGGGCAAGCTTTGAATAGGTGGATAGTAGGTGTCCTGAGGAACTCTAATTTTAGTTAAGCCGCCATACATTTCCAGCAGAGTTTTTTCTGAATGTCATGCATTTAAAAAAAATGCATCAATTATTAAAATACATGTTTTATGTTACTTTGAAAATAAAAAGTGAGTGCAGTGCGTTTTATCCTGTTTATTTTACTCATACCAATGGAGTGAATACAATATTGAATTAAATAAATGTATTTGTTGAAGCCTCGTGAACACAGAGCCATTGTTGTGTGTGTGTGTGTGTGTGTGTACAGTGGATATACATGTGAATGTATGGACTGTGTGTATAGTGTATACGAATTTACATATGTGTGCATTGTGATCCTGTATTGCAATTCGCACGGTCCTATAGGGTAAAACCATGCACAGTATTTTGTTTTATTAGACGTTCAGTCACTTTATTTGGAAAATTCCCACAGGAGACAGCATCAGGATCAACACCAAAGAAATATTAATGTAACAAAGCCCGGCTCGTCTGAGCGATTACTAACATTCAATTTCCCTCTCTAGCGAGAATTAAACGGTTGCACCAGACTTGTTTATTAGCAACTCTCTGCACTCCAGTGCTCGGTCAGCCTGCTGCTTCCAGCCCTCAAAGGAGAACTAAAACGTCTCCCCTACCTGTCTACCAGGGAGGGTTTTATTTCCCCTTCGGCAGCTGATTACCTGCAGCGTAGCAGTGGGTTGGAGACAGTCCAAAACCCTGGCGTGGACCTTATTTCTCTTAGTTGTATATAAACCGGCCCGCCCTACTCTCCGAATGCTCCACCCCAGGCGCCCAAAACTAAACATTAAGTTGTATAGCATACAACGCATACTCCCCCTGGGGTAAATGCCATATGGGAATAAAAACAGCATCACATACCACACCATTCACTTTATCACAGCATGTATGGAGTGTGTGTATAGTATATATGTATTTACATATGTGTGCATGTATGCAGTGTGTGAATATGTTTGGGTGTATAGTGTGTGTGTGTGTATGTGTGTGTGTGTGTATGCGTGTGTGTGTGTGCATATATATATGTATGCAGTGTGTGTGTGTGTGTATGTGTGTATATATGTATGTGTGTGTATTTATGTATGGACTATGTGGGTCTGTTTGTGTATGTATAGTATAAACACAAATTAAACCCACTGACCGGTGAAGTGAATAACATTAATTATATTGTTACAATGGCACCTGTCAGAGGGTGGGATATATTAAGCAGTAAGTGAACAGTTAATTCTTGAATTTCATGTGTTGGAAGCAGGAAAATAGAGTAAGAGAGAAAAGATCTGAGTGACTTTGACGAGGGCCAAATAGTGATGGCTAGATGACTGGGTTATATTATCTCCAAAATGGCAAGTCTTGTGGGGTGTTCCCAGTATGCAGTGCAGGGCTCCTGACAGAGCTCATGGTCTGGGCCCCGCAGGGGCCTGCCCCCGAGTCCGCCCAGAGGGCCGCCCCCTGAGTCCACACACAGGGGTGCAGTGTTTGTATGAATTGTGGTGTGTGTGTATTGGATGCGGTGTGTGTGTGTGTGTGTGTGTAGTGAATGTAGAGTCTGTTTGTATAGTGGATGCAGTGTTTGTGTGTATTAGATGTGGTGTATGTGTATAGTGAATGTAGAGTGTGTTTGTGTAGTGTATTGTGTGTGTTTGTATAGTGAATACAGAGTGTGTGTTTGTATAGTGAATGCAGATTGTGTGTTTGTGCAGTGGATGTGTGCATTAGATGCAGTGTGTATAGTGAACGTGAAGTGTGTTTGTGTAGTGGATTGTGTATATAATGAATGTAGAGTGTGTATAGTGAATGTAGTGTGTGTTTGTGTAGTGAATGTAGTGTATATAATGAATGTAGTTTGTGTATAGTGAATGTAGTGTGTGTTTGTGTAGTGAATGTAGTGTATATAATGAATGTAGTGTTTGTGTAGTGAATGTAGTGTATATAATGAATGTAGTGTTTGTGTGGTGAATGTAATGTGTGTTTGTGTAGTGAATGTAGTGTGTATATATAGTGAATGTTGTGTTTTTATAGTGAATGCAGAGCGTGTGTTTGTGTAGTGTGTGTGTGTATAGTGAATGCAGTGTGCGTTTGTGCAGGCATGTAATGTGTGTGTAAAATAGGAGGGGGGAGGGGGCGACATATTTATTTTTTAACATTTCTTTTAAACATATTATTTTTTAATTTAGTTTCTCCTCCCTGCTTCGTTGTTAGTTTTCTGCATTTTATTACTGGCTGGAGTGATCAATATTGTAACCCCAGCATTCATCATATCTATAAAATGTCCTGAGATAGAAAGAGTGCTATATTAGAACTTTTAAATATTTGCAGAGGTTAAATAGGGCAAAACTAATATCACTAATATACACAAACCTAGTCTGCATTTTTAAAAATACAAATTGGCAAACTGGCATAAGATGACCGCTATGTCTTTATTTAATGTTCATGAAAAGCACTGCACTGTAATAAACCTCACAATGCTTCTTATCTGGCCAGGGAGGGGTGAGATCAGATTCCCTGGTGGTACGTCCAGTGGGTTGCTCGAAGCCAGCCGCTGGACTCTGCAGAGGGGGCCCAGAACACTCTGACTCCACTTCCCAGCAGCTCCTCTGTGTCTAATTCTCGCGGCGTGCGTGCTTGCCGTGCGGAGCGTTGCAGTGGTAACCCGTGGCAATGCTCTAACACTACAGGGCTACAGGGCTCATGAGCGTTAGGGACAGGGGAGCTGCTGGAAAGTGGAGTCAGAGTGTGCTGGGCTCCCTCTGCAACAAAGAAGTAGCCGGGGGCCTGCATATATCATATATATATATCTCTATATCTATATATATCTATCTATCTCTCTCTCTCTCTCTCTCTATATATATATATATATATATATATTTCTATATATATCTATCGGTATTCGCAATGTGGGGCCCCCTAGGACTGCCAGGCCCATGACAACCGTCATGGTTGTCATGCCCTAAAGGCGGTCCTAATGCAGTGGTTAGTACCTACCACAAATGGTGCAAGAAAAGACAAACAGTGAACCAGCATCAGGGTCATGGGCGACCCAAAGCTTATTGATACTTGTAGGGAGCAAAGGCTAATCCATCTGGTCTGATCACACAGAAGTGCAATTGTAGCCCTTGATAGAAAGGTGTTGGCCTTCAAATTCCCAGATCTCAATCAAATTGAGCATTAGGGGAGGGCTGGAACAACGAATCCGATCCATGGATGCCCCACCTCAGAACTTGCTGGACTTACAGGATCTGCTGCTAATGTCTTGGCACCAGATACCACAGGACATGTTTGGAGGTCTTGTGAAGTCCATGCCTCAATGCATCAGAACTGTTATGGCAGAACGACGGGGCGCTATGCGATATTAGGCAGGTGGTTTTACTGTTGTGGCTGATCACTCTATGTACATGTGTAAGTTTGCGTGTCTACCTGCATGGTGTTGGTGAATGTGTTTGTATATTTTATATACATGTTTATGTATATATGCCTGAATGTACGGGGTGCTGGTTTTGTGTGTCTGTGTGTGTGTATGTATGCTACACATTTTTGTTTAGATAAAAAAATAAACACAAATATGTCTGTGCACATGTGTGTGTGTGCATATACAGGTAAAAATACATTTCTATTTAGATAAAAAAATAAAATATACATATACATACTGCAAGCCAGTGTAGAGTCTCTTCTCGCTGACTATCGAGTGGTTACTGTTGCACTTTTCTTTTAAGTTAAGGAATGAAGAATGTGGTTCGTGTTAAAGTGCTGGAGATCTGTGGTATGACACATTTTTTAGAATTGTCTTAGTACAACCCTGCTATTTCTGCAGAGTGAAAACTAATAATCTCAGCCAGTTTAGAAAGTCAAAGGATGTGCTGCTAAAAGCCAGTTAATGCAGATTTAACACAGCTGCCATGACTCACAGTGAGGAATCATGTCTAATCCAATGATACAAACAACAGACTACGAATCCCCATTCTCAGGCGTTATAATTTAATTTATTTGTATGTAAAAGGACTGTTTTTCTAACCTCTCACAGTGATGGCTAGCTTTGGGACACAGAGTATCATTCACGGGGAGTGACCTATGGAAACGTGTTTCTTCAGCATTACATTTCATTACGTTTCAGTTTTATAGTATGAATTTAAAGTTATTTAATAGTGATAATAATAATTGGTGTTGTCCTTTGTTAATTATTATATTTGTATATGTAAGTGCCGTTTGTGTGTGAAAAATGCAACAAATTGCTCTTTCACTGAAGATATCATCGCTGTAATTTGTTTTACTGTTTTGAAACACTAATATTTGTGTCCAGCGAAGTCTCCCGAGTCAAACAGTAACCCCCATGTACAGGTTTTAGGGTGTCCTGGAAAGTTACAGGCTTAAATATAGCAAATTAAATTCTCTGGTCTTTCTTCAAATTATAATTAATAAAATGACTTAATTATGTAAAAATACTAAATAAATATATTTGTAGAATTTAAATGTGTGTGTGTGTGTATAGATAGATATGTGTAATGATAACATCATTCTAAATGTATTTTGATGTAAATGTATATTAATATCAAAATACAGTTAGAACAAATTTAAACCGTATGTAATTCTTTTTAAATTTAATTTAATTTTTGTAATAATTTTTTCCCTTTTTTTCCAATTTATTTATTATATATTTTTATTTTATTTATATATATGTATATATATATATATAATTAACGCCATTCTAAGTGTATTTTAATATTAAAATACACTTAGAATAATGGATTGTGTATGTGTATATAAAAGTACTTAGAATATATATATAATCTAAGTACTTTTATTGACTTTATTAAACTTTTTAGTAACTTTTATATACTTTCTAAACTTTTGTACAGGCATAAGGGGGACAGCCTGAAAGCTCAGACACTCCCCCTGCAGGCACTGCACAAGCCGGCTATTCTGGCCATGTGATCGCGAGGACCCCATGATCACATGGCCCGGGGCAAGTCCCCACATCAGAGATCAGGAAAGTGCAGATTTGGGATCGGACCTTAATCTGTATACCGTACATTAAGCTGTATATTATACATTATGCTTTATATTGTACATTAAGCTGTATACTATACATTAAGCTGTATACCGTATATTAAGCTGTATACCGTTCATTAAGCTGTATACTGTATATTAAGCTGTATACTATACATTAAGCTGTATACTGTACATTAAGCTGTATACTATACAATAAGCTGTATACCGTACATTAAGCTGTATACCGTACAATAAGCTGTATACTGTACATTAAGCGGTATACTATACACTAAGCTGTATATACCATACATTAAGCTGTATACCGTACATTAAGCTGTATACCGTACAATAAGCTGTATACTGTACATTAAGTGGTATACTATACACTAAGCTGTATATACCATACATTAAGCTGTATACCGTACATTAAGCTGTATACTATACATTAAGCTGTATACCGTACAATAAGCTGTATATACCATACATTAAGCTGTATACCGTACATTAAGCTGTATACTATACATTAAGCTGTATACTGTACATTAAGCGGTATACTATACACTAAGCTGTATATACCATACATTAAGCTGTATACCGTACAATAAGCTGTATATACCATACATTAAGCTGTATACCGTATATTAAGCTGTATACTATACATTAAGCTGTATACTGTACATTAAGCTGTATAATGTACAATAAGCTGTATACCGTACAATAAGCTGTATATACCATACATTAAGCTGTATACCGTACATTAAGCTGTATACTATACATTAAGCTGTATATTGTACATTAGGCTGTATACTGTACAATAAGCTGTAAACTGTACATTAAGCGGTATACTATACACTAAGCTGTATATACCATACATTATGCTGTATACCGTATATTAAGCTGTATAATGTACAATAAGCTGTATAATGTACAATAAGCTGTATACCGTACAATAAGCTGTATATACCATACATTAAGCTGTATACCGTACAATAAGCTGTATACTGTACATTGAGCTGTATACTATACACTAAGCTGTACATACCATACATTATGCAGTATACCGTATATTAAGCTGTATAATGTACAATAAGCTGTATACCGTACAATAAGCTGTATACTGTACATTGAGCTGTATACGGTACACTAAGCTGTATATACCATACATTATGCTGTATATTGTATATTAAGCTGTATAATGTACAATAAGCTGTATAATGTACAATAAGCTGTCGTTGTTCTAGTGACTATAGTGTCCCTTGAGGATTGTGAATATTGTGATGTCTTTATTTTCTATTTTCAATTTTCTTTCTTTTTTTAACCCATATATTGTTTTCATTGTATTATTTGTATGTTTGGCTTTGTTTGATATATTGACCCTCCATTTTGCTCATTTTAGAGGACAATGTTTCAGGGTAGTATTGTGTAATATTTTGATGGCAATTGCTCTTTAAAACTTCTATTGTTTAACTTTATATTTTTTTATCCAACTTCTTTAGTTAAACATATAAACGTAAAAACCAGTGATTGAGGAAGCTGATTAGCAGATATATGTATATATCATTTTTTATTTTCATGCAAAGGTTAAAAAGACATTCTCTTTCTCCTAGGCAGGAATAATGGGCGCGTCAATCGCCGGCCAAGACAGGGCATTGTGGAGGAGTGTTGCTTTCGGAGCTGTGACTTAGACCTGTTAGAGACATACTGTGCAAAACCTGCCAAGAATGAACGGGACTTATCCACAGCACCCGTCACAGCCATGCCACCACTGAACAAGGTGAGTTAGAGAGCTTATCTTATATCTGAAGGTTTGATCACTTTGCCAATCTGCTGACTTGGCGCATGGTCCAATAGACACTATGCAAAAGATAAGAACAGAGAGTTAATCTGAAAGTTTATTCAATTTGCACTGTTTGCAGATCCCACCAACAGTCAAGGAAAAAAAGATGAATCCTTTACTTTGCTGATCTGGTTATTTTTATTATTATTATTATTACTACACATTTGTCCAGATCTGCTTTTTCAAAGTATAGACAGATTCTTTTTAGCATGTTACTTGGCGTTTTTATCTGGTCTTTGCTTATCACTTTCTGCACCCCTGGTTTCTGTTGGAGTACAATAAGAGTGATTGGCCATGACCTGGATGCCCACGCTATATTGCCTTCAGAATTTTTATGTTTTCAGAGAGAAATCAATAATAAGAAAATGTCAAGTCCCTCAGTGCCCGTGGAAATGAATCCCATTTGGGTGTATTCACTTAAACATGGGAATCTGGAGAATTAACTAGAAACTTGTAACCAAACTATAAACACTGCTCACTTCACCTACTATTTCTGAGTGGTTATTTGGGTCTAACGCTTGCAATACCCTTGTAAGTTCTCCAAGACTGAGATTGCCAATGGACAGCAGTTCTGTAGGTGTAGACCTCCAACTTCCCCAGGAGAGTAATGTACATCTAATTCTGCATCGAAATCTGGAGTGTTTAAGAAGAGTCCCTATATATATATTGGTGAAGGGTCCCAGAAAACATAGTCATATTGTTCAGTAAAACAGTCAAGACCAAGTGGCCCAGTAACATTAATTTGTCATAAATACAATGTGTTTTACAGCCCACAAAGATTTTTAAAAAGAATGCAATATCTTTGAGTTTATATTTCAATACTCATCTCTAAGTATATTGTAAAAAAATCTAAATTCTAGAATACAATGAGAATGTTCTTTGGTGCTCGATCATTAATGGTTCCTGAAAAAGGAGAGATATGATATCACAAACAAAGTTGTGCTATTAAACTCTTTATCATCCTCCTTATCTTATTAAAATCAAGAAGAGACCACATTTTCAAAATTCAAACACAGTGTTTTCCCTCTTACAGGAGCTGTACCACAAGCATTCCCACACAAAGTATTCCAAATATGACATTTGGCAGAAGAAGTCCGCCCAACGCCTCCGGAGAGGAGTCCCTGCCATTGTGCGTGCGCGCCAGTACCGGTGGCGTGTGCAAGAGATTGAAGAATCTGAGCAAGCCATGTCACACCGTCCCCTTACCACCTTACCAAGGAAGCGACCTCTCCATCTGCAACATGCCTCAGAGACCTCTCTCAATTGAGCCGGGGACACTTTCTAAGTAGGATTCCACTGCTTTCAAGTTCTATTTTCATATTCTTTTCGTCATCTCTGAATGGGGGGGGGGGGCTAAGGTCATGCCTTCCCCCTGTGTATATTCCAGTTGGGGCAAAATAGGTGCCCTCGTAGCTTCACATGACATCTCAACGAAGAACAAATGGAACAAATTGAAAGATGCCAAAGCAGGACCCCTGATTGTTTTTGGCTGGAAAGATTTAATGGATATTTTGTGTCCCAATATTTTGTGTATTCCAAACATCAAAACATATGTCTGTATTTGTGCACTACATGTGTGTAATATATATATATGTATATTCCTGTGTGTGCACATATATATGTATATTACATATATAAGTGTATGTATATTTGCACAAAAACAGGTCGTTTCTGCTAATATTCAGCTTACATGTGCCTTCTCGAACAAACAAAAGTATTAAAAGTGAATGTTCATCCAACCTTGAGAAATGGGTGGAAAGCAGAGAAATCTGTGTCAAAGGGAAACGGATCTCCCTTTTCGCACATATGGGCTCATATTTTTACACAATGTAATATTTTCTTTATTTTCACATAGCATTTTTTGTCAGTGTCCACATTTTTGCACCTTTTTCTAATGCTCAAAAAAATGTTTTAAAGAGCATGGGAGGTATTTTTTATTTGTTTGTTTTGTTCGATTGTTTTTCTTGACTCTATGTCAGCTGGTCCTGCAACATAATGCTTTGCACCAGGCTGCAGCCCTCTTGGGTAACATAGGGGTTAAGCACAAGAATTCCAAATGTATTTGCACCTTTCTAATTGATAAGAACTAAGACATGGGGAAGTAGGCAGAACTTTGTTTTTTTTTATAATTTGTGAGTGAGCGCTGTCTGCTTTGCACATGTGCCACGGATTACAATGATTATACATATGTATAATATCTATGTGTATTATAACTTTTTTGGGAGGGGGGGGAAGGTAAAACTCAAGCACTATTTTTTATGGGAATTTTTTTTTTTGTATAGCAACAAAAGAAAGGGATGTGATATTTTAAATATGATATGCTATGTCGCTATGGTCATTCAGAGGGCAAAAACCGTGGTAATATTTTGAAATATTGCCTGCAGTATATACAGCCAGGTTATATGGGGACCTTCAATAATCTGGGTACTAACAGCTATATTGACCAGAGAATTGCAAATTTTAGGTCAAGATTTCAAAAATCCTTCTACTTTCCCTGGCTATTTTGGCATAAAATGGGCAATTCTTTGGTGAATTCAAAGTGTATACCCAATATGGTTGAAAATTGAGCAGCATTGGGAGACCCCCATGGAACTTATCCAGACCATAGCATGAACATTAATAATTAATTATACATAGAACTTGGAAAAAAAAAGTATATACTTTTCGTTTTAGGAAAAGTATCTATTTTTCTCCTTCCTCTGAGTAGTGTAGAAGGTGTCATTCGATACGAAAGCCACTCGCCTGTTCCTGCAAAAGTCTTTCTGTGTAGACACCCTTAGGCTGTATCTAGGGAAAAGGGGGAGAACATATTTACATTATATTAAACACACAGTTTCCACTTAGCATGTATTTTTCTACAGGTTGAACGTATCAGATAACATATTAGACTGGTTCTGTATTCCATTCGTAGAAAAATGATGTTTATTTTATAATTCCGGGTAAACAGCGAAACGTAAAATAAAATCACCATATTTTACTATTACCTTTCAGTAATAGGAGATTAGGTTTATTGTCATGTTACTGCATCGTTAGTGGCAGTGAAGGGTCAGGTTGCCAGTCATGTCTTTTTAAATATTAAATATCTAAAATGAAAAATACAAATAACAGCGAAATATAAGAACTCATTCGATACTTTACTTTTATCAATGAGATTTGGGGCACACTTTTAAATGAACTCCTAGAAACATAGAATGTGACGACAGATAAGAACCATTCGGCCCATCTAATCTGCCCAACTCTTATCCCAATTTAAAAGAAATTACCGATTTGCAAGGAAATGTTTCACCTTAACTGATAACAAAACAAAGTGTGGTTCTTTAAGTGCAGTTATATTTTAAATGGATGTTTCCAAAGCCAAAGAGTCAGCCTCTCTCCCTCAAAAGACATAATGTAACATGTACATCATGGTAGGTACAATGGGTGTCCAACAATATTACCCGTTATTCTCTGCCAAACACAGTCCGACAACAGGTAAAGTCGTGTAGTATACACCAAGTGTATACTGTACTTTGCACAGTACTTAGCCAGAGCTTTTGGAGAGCCACTGATTTTTATGGAGAAAAAAACCTTTAAAAATATAATCTGTTAAGGAAAATACACTTTGTACTTTTAAACCCCAGTACACCAATGATTGTGTCTTTACAATACAAGATACCATTAGGGAAAACCTTGTCAATTCATTCTGTCAATGAATGTCTATGTAAGGTTTAGCCTCCAAACATTGAATTGTGATGATTTGGGTTCTGTATTCTAAATTGTCCAGTATATTCTAATTTTCACTGTTTTATGTGCCTAATTTGTGAATTATATCTTAATTCACAACAATTCGCTGTTAAGTGAATTAATTGAATCTTTTTTTCACAAATCACAACATTTATTTTGCAGAAAACATTTGACCAAAAACTTAGCAAAAATCACACATTTTTAAGATTAATAGTCGTGCAATAATTGACTTCTTTTATGTTAATTTGTGACTGATACAATTCATTTTGTTAACAGAATTAGATATCATGGCTAATATTGTGTCGTTTGTATAAGCCAAATAACCCCATTGATTTCACAAGCGAAGTTTCAACGTAAGCACACATTATTGTAGAACACCAGAAAGTCTGTATCTATCTGTGATCATTCTACTAAGTTACCCATCATTTATTACCAGAGTGACACCTAGCAATGGATGTAGCTATGATGATGCCATGGTGCATTAAAAGCTTTCCATTGGTTTCATTTATATAGTATAAAAATGGCAGCAACAGGCACAAACTAATGTTCATGACTGATGATGATTATATAACCATTAGGTAAATTGATTACTGAATTTGCTATGAAAAGGTTTAAACCTTCGATACCAGTCGCTGCCCTTTGCAGAGCCGGTATAAATAGTAGTTTGTTTAGTCGATGGAATATCGTGCTCTCCGCAGTTAAACAGAGAGGATTTTCACATATACACAAACCATATAAGTTGTCAGAGGAATTGCAATACAGGGCTAAAACAAGTTGCACTGTCATTATGTAGGCAGGATGGTATATATTTCTGAGAAGTTACATCGTTCTCAGAACCATTCACACATTCTCATTTCCCACATTAAGTGCTACTGCTTTACATAGCATTTTACAATAACATTTAAAAAACTTTGGTCAAATCACTCGCAAAGAATTTGTCACAAACCTAGGTCTCTTTGTAACATAATCATTGCAATGAGCTGCAGTGGTTATGGTACTTAGACTGTCCTTTTAAGCTGGGACTTAGATCAATTACCTGAAACCAGTTCTCTGTGTCTACCGAGAGTATAGCTTGTATCTGTTCCCAAATGCCACCAAAATTGAAAAATCAATAAATCCAGAAATAATGACACTGTCCCTGAGCAAAGGTTTGGGAAGTACTGACTTGGTCTAAATCATCATCCCAATATAATATGCTGTGGTGATATTTTCCAGCTTATAAACTGGACAAAGTTGACCAAAATATTGTCTACCATGGGCAAGTATGAACTGTGTTATCCATCTCAACTGAAGATTAGTTTTCTTTTTGGCCATAACCCATGTTTCCTTTGTTTTAATCTCATTGTCTCTCCACTACATGCTGCCATTCACAGAATCATTTATGCGATGCTTGTTGGTCCTTCTCTGGTAGAGATTTCTGCAACGTAATGTCAGCCACACAAGTATGAATGCAGCTATGTAGGTAGCACAATGAGATTGCTTACCTGCGTTATCTACACCATGTAAAGAACAAAAATGAAAAGACTACTTGAATTATACAATATTTTACATCAAGAATGAGTAATGTGAGCTTGGGTGGGCGGGCTCCAGGGGTGGAGGAAGTAATTAGGTATTTTTACTGTGTAATCCATTTTTATATGATATTAATATTATTATCTTGCAATGTTGAGCCATGATGCATTTTTTTTTAAAAAAAAGTAAAAAAAAAATAAATAAAAAAAATACGACACTGCAAATACGATAGAAAGAAAAAAAACAGCCTTATTTATTGATGTTACAAAATGAGGAGTAAAAAAAACAAAATCAAAACTTCGAAAGGGGGAGCAACTTTTTGATGTCTTATTTTGTTCCTTCTAGTTTGTACCTTTTGAGAACTTTATAAATGCTTTGTACCAAAAAAAAAAAAAAGAAATTGAGAAAAAAAAATTCTGAAAGAAAAAATAAATAAAACCTATTCAACTTTAATAAACAGCAACAATAAATAGTAACATCCTATTCGGGTTGTTTTCTGTGTAAACATATATCAGATGGTTATTATACTTTTTTTTCGAAGAGCGGTTAGTAGTCATCGTAACCGGTCTGAGCCATTTCCATCTTAGAAATTCAGCAATTTCTTCATTTCAGTATTTCAGTGTTGAAACTACAATGCATATTGTCTGACGCCTTAAAACCTGACAATACCTGTTTATTGTTGGGTTGGCTGTTCTGTAAAATGTAGGAATCTGTTACAAGAAGGTTCTTGTTTGTTGCCTTATCAGAATGGCTTCTCAGACTCTGATGCTTTCTTCGACCTGTGTCTACACAAACCAATGCAGCTTCCGGTATCATTTATCTGCATTCTCACATATTGTACAATAGCGTGTCCATCTCACGAAGGACTTCAACATGATTAATAAAATAGAGAATAAACATCACATATATTCATTTTTTATTGAAACTTTCAGGCTTTTCTTTTCTCGGATTTTAATAAATAAACATTACATCACAATATTGTATCATACACTTTCTGCCTTACTTACTGGAAAAAACTAAACTAAAAAAAAACAAAGCAATTATTGATGCAATTGACTTTTAAGGGTCTATGTTTCATAGAGCCAAAGTGCGGTGCCATTGATTCAGCCATTTGGAGGCCACTATAGAACTGGAACAGCCATAGTTACATGGATGGATTTAGTGGTCTCTGCACTATATGAAGGAATTGTTTTCTACGCACTGCCACTGGACTGTTGGCTTTTCTTATGCACAACTGATGGATTCTTTCATGGCAAGTATAGGGCGTGTGCCAACTTGCCTAAACTGTGCACTCAGCATAATATGCAACTCAACAACGCCCAGATTCTGCACCTATTGTACCTTTTTGTTTTTTTGTAATATCATATCAATAAAGCAAATCTATTGAACCACAAGGAAAGTATGTCTTCTGCATTTATTGATTGTTCTATGTTACGTGTCCAGAATATTTCTAGCACTTTTTGTTGGTCAGTTTTTAGGGCCGGGATTGTAACAATGTTTTTGTTACATTTAGGAGCTAAACATCATCACCTCAATTTTTAAATGCTTTAACATTGTTGAATACACTTTTAAAATTATTTTTAAAACATATACAAATTTTAAAATAATAGAAGAATATATCATTTTTTTTCAAAATAATTAAATATTTCAAAATAAAGACATTTTTCACAGTTTTAAATCATTTTAAAAGTTTATCCAAAAATGTGAAATCATTTAAAGAGTTTATCCAACAATAATAAATCGAGGCCCAAATATGAACCTAGAGTCATAAAAAACCCACTGAAAAGTTACCAGCGAGGGTAACGCCACAAAACAACGTTAATGCCACTTTTAAATCAGAATGTGAAACTTCTGTGGTCTGTGTGGCTAAAGATTCCTGGCATATAGATAGAAGTATTTTACTGGTCACTAACCTGCTCCCTGTCATTTTCAATCTGAAAGTTAAATGTAACCGGTTGAACACCTTAAAAACATGCTGCTAATTAAGTGCCTGTGTTGCAAGCTGTTCTTATTTGTTAATGGTCTAAATCAGCGATGGTTAGGGTTACCAGATCCACCATGCCCTGCCGTGCGTATATTGCATATTCTGTAGGATTCTTCATTGCCTAATTATTAATTGTATACACATTCTTCTGAATTCTACACTTTTCATGTGCTGCCCATCAATATCTATCCCTAAAAACATGGCGGACATGGTAGCCCTAGTGAGGGTGAATATTTTGAAGCCCAGGTGCTTAATATTTAGCAGTAATCAAGTAAAAGAAGTAGAAGAGTCCATTTTTTCTTTCTTTATCGGCTCCCCTAAACCCTTCCTTATAACAACCTCTCTCTCTATAAGCTCGTCATCGCTATCTTCATTTCATTTGAGTTACTATGTTGATCTCCCCTCTTTCGCTTTCTACCAGTTCTTTTTCAGGATAGACTGTCTACCTCTTTCCATAGCCATGCACTTCCCTCACATTGTATTGATTACCGTTTCTCACCCTCAGCACCAAGACCCTCATCTCCCATTCCTGATGTCATGGAGCAGTAAGCTCTATACAACGTTTCATTAAATTGGGTCTCCAGGCTGTTCTATAGGCAGTCTCTGAGTCCCACACCACTTCTGGCAACCTTTAATTGGCAGACTTAACTGGCATGGCATACCTTTGCCACCAGTAGCTAAGCTCTTTAAAGGACCACTCTAGGCACCCAGACCACTTCAGCTTAATGAAGTGGTCTGGGTGCCAGGTACCTCTAGGATTAACCCTTTTTTTATAAACATAGCAGTTTCAGAGAAACTGCTATGTTTATACTGAGGGTTAATCCAGCCTCCAGAGCCTGTCTCATTGACAGCCGCTAGAGGCGCTTGCGCTTCTCACTGTGAAAATCAGCCGATGACGCCGCGAGAGGAGGAGAGGAGGAGTACAGCTCCCCGCCTGGCGCTGGAGAAAGGTAAGTGTTTAACCCCTTCCTCTCTCCAGAGCCCGGCGGGAGGGGGTCCCTGAGGGTGGGGGCACCCTCAGGGCACTATAGTGCCAGGAAAACGAGTATGTTTTCCGGGCACTATAGTGGTCCTTTAAGAGCAAAAACTGTGGTGACAGATAAAATAAATGTGTTTTTAGAGAATTAATTTAAAAAATTACATAATCCCACAGGTTTTCATGACTGTAGATCCAATGTGTAAAGTTGAATTGTTCATTAGAAATTTACTTTAATCTACTTACTTTAAAAATCCACCCAATGTATTCAAAATGATGTATTGAAATAATATAATAGCTGTATTATTGCCACCTTTGCACTAACCAGTAAGAATAAACATGGAGTTCTATCCTCATTAACAAGCATTGTACAGAGGCCCCCAAATGATCACCCCAAAGGCACAACATTAATTAAAATGAGACAACTGTGGTCTCTTATAGAGCTCATCACATACATTCTCAGAACTATCTCGTCTTTGAAAAGCCTCCCAGCAGAATACTAGAAAGTGAGAGCCCCACATTGCAAGCCTACTTCATCTCTAATGCCATCTATATTATCAATAACAAATGAATAATCTTAGTAAATCTAGATTCATTCTGTGATTATATATGGACAGGAACATTGAGTTGGCAACTTCTTACAATGTAATCTATTTGTGGAACCAAGTGTTAGCCTGATGGGTCCAAGTCATTCTAATATCAGTATCCACAAGATATCAGCCAGACTTTGATTTGTTTTTTATTTGTAAATATCTTTTTATTTGACTTCCAAGGTAACAGCATTGCAAAATGACTTGTATTGAGACTCACAGATTGTGTCAAACTCCCCTTCCTTTGTGAGTTTGCCACGAGCTCCTGGAGGAGCCTGCTTGCCAGCCTCCTGCCTACAGACTATGGCCATACATGGAAACCTGTAAAAGACTATTTAACTGGCTTGGTTCTTGGGATTCCCCTATGCTATTCGGGAACCGAACAGCCGCATGAGCTATGGACCACCCGGGAGCTTTTTAAGCCTAATGGATACATTGTAACGATCTTAATCACAGTGTTCTAATCGTTAGTCTGGGTGACCACAAGGTGGCGGCCATCTTGTTTTCATGAACACAGGCAGCAGTGTTTGGTCGTCGAGTTTATGGAACTTTTTTCGGACAATGAAACTCCCAAACACCGCTGGACTTCCATGATCGCCTGTGTTCAGTTTTATATAACTTAGAAGAACACTGTTCGGTGGGATCGTTCATCTTGATAAAGGTAACAAGCTTCATGGTATGGCAATGGATTCTGCTTGGTAGTTTGTTCTCTTTTAAAAAAACTTGACCGACCGCTCCAACTTTTCCCCTGGAACTGTTTTGGTCAAAGGACCATGTGTGCGGTCGGTCAAATTATGACTTCCAGGAAAATCTCAAATGTTGGTCACCCAGATTGAGGCTGTAACTTTTGTGGGGTTTTTATGTGTTTTAAAGGTATTTTGGGGGTTTTGTAATATTGTATGTTTTTCTGTGCCTGGAGATAATTGAGTTAGTTTAATTCCTGACTCAATTAACTCTCAGGCTCAGAGGAGGAGTTTGTAACTTGTAACTAGTCCCCTTTCAGGTCCAGGAGAGGGATTATCCTGTTTGTGTGGGAGTGTCAGGGGTGTGCTTAACTGTGTCTTAAATTGTATAAAAGCAGGCCATCTGGCCAGATTAAAACATTCCAGCTTGTACTCCTAGAACTATGTGTCGTCTGGTTACTGGGAATGGAAAGGGCTAATCACTAATCATAATTCCAGTGTGGAGGATTCAACGGGGAAAGTCCTTGTAAGGACTAGAGCTCCCAGGACTGAGTGTTGTCCAGTGACTGGGAGTGGACAGAGTGAGTTTTCCATTCAGCTCCAGGAGCGGTTCCAGGACCCCAATCAAGCTATGGCGACTGTGGGAAGACGTGCTGCGGTTTGTCCCCTGATCCCGCAAGGAAACGGTCCTTGGTGAAGGTGCCCAGCCAGGAGTACTGTGAGGTCCCCTACACAGGTCTCGAAATGAAGGTTGGAAATCTTGAGACACATACAAAAAAAAAACAAATCACTGCCACATAGGAGTGAGGTGGGAGGAGGAAATATGAGTGTAAGGGGTAATGAGAGAATTGATAGAAAAATAAAAGGGAAAAGGGGGGTAGAGGGTGGTATGAATTAACGATAAAAAATATATAATGTAATATGCGGGAGTGGTAATGGAAGGTGGGAAGAAAGGGGAAGAAAGTATGGGGGGTTTCTCCCCCATCCAAATCGCCAACTGTGTTCCACTTGTCTCAAGTACTTACCTCTAATCCTTGCCCCGAATTTACTACATATCGAGACTGTTGTGTACCAATCTAGGAGTAATTGGTAGTCAGCCGAGTTCTTGGTGAGAATTATATCTTGGTTCTTTTACTAGATTGAAAGACGAGTTCCTCCCTGGAGCGTAGCTCCTACATATGAACCATAGAGTAATGGGAGGGGCATTTTCTTTATTCCAAAAGAGAGGCATCAGGCTTTTAGCCACATTCAGGATTCTGATTGTCAGGGATTTTGTATATACAGAGGACCGTAATTTGATGAGATGAAGCAGTAGTGGGGCTGTGCAGAAGGTTGGTTAGGCATCTGAGAATTTCTGGATAATCGTATGAATTTTCCTCCAAATTGGGTGGATCCTGTCACAGTCCCTCCAGAGGCAAAGGAGGTTTCCAACCTCCCATCAACACCTCCAGCATCTCTCATCAATTGTTGACATTATCGTGTGTAGTAATTGGGGAGTTTTTTACCAAAAGGTCAATAATTTATTGGCAGATTCATGTATTTTGCTAGAAGCCGAGTCTTGTAGGATCTGGCAATCCATCCAAGGGGTCCATAAGGCCCTGGCAGCACACATCACACATCACACAAGTCATCCTGGAATACCCCTCCCTCCTTAGCCTGCATTCAGCCTTCGACAAAGCCTCTTCACCTTTACCTTTGTTAAGTAGCAGCAGCTAAACCAGACTACCCCAATCATGACTAACAGGCTGGATTCCTTACCCTATGCAATTATCATTCTTACTGAATTAATCTTGAGTAACTGCACAAACCCAAACTCATAGATGTCTTAAATATCCCAAACTTGAAATATTATAGCATAGGCCTAAATTTAAGATTATTGGATTAGCTTGTCAAAAGTTTTTTTTTTTTTTTTTTATTAAACCAACAATACATGTGTTTTTTTGGGGGCTAATTTTTTTACTTTATATTGTTAAAAGTTTAAGAATTAGAGACACCCCTGTAATATGAGAAATGTTGATAAATCCTGTAGATTCCAACTCAAAAACATAGTCCGCATCCGCCCCTTTCTTACACAAGTTGCTACCAAGGAGCTTGCCCATGCTCTAGTAATTTCCCGCATGGATTATTGTAACCCTCTCCTGATTGGTCTCCCCAAAAGCCGTATTGCCCCACTACAGTCTGTAATGAATGCTGCAGCTAGACTGCTTTTCCTCTCTAGTCAGTCCTCTCACACCTCACCCCTCTGCCAGTCC